CAAGTAGGCCTGCAGAGCGAGAGCGAAGTGCTCTAATAGGGTGATATGGTACTACAAGGTCATTAAGATAAGATGGGGCCTGATTATTTAAGACCTTGAGGAGCAGGATTTTTGAAAATAGGAGAAATATGCTCTCTCTCTCTAGTCCCTGTCAGTACTCTTGCTACAGCATTTTGGATTAACTGAAGGCTTTTCAGTTAGTTTTTAGGGCATCCTGATAATAATGAATTGCAGTAGTCCAGACCAGAAGTAATAAATGCATGAACTAGTTTTTCAGCGTCACTCTGAGACAGGATATTTCTAATTTTAGAGATGTTGCGCAAATGGAAGAAAGCAGTCTTACATATTTGTTTAATATGTGCGTTGATCAAAAATGACTGGTCAAAAATTACTCCAAGGTTTCTCACAGTGTTAATGAAGGCTGAGGTAAGAGTAAGAATCAGGTTAGATAACATATTTCTAAGATTTTTAGGCTGAGTACAATAACTTCAGCTTTATCTGAATTTATAAAACTCAAAATTAGAGGCATGCAAGTCTTTATGTCTTTAAGACATGCCTGCAGTTTATCAAATTGGTGTGTGTTATCTGGCCTCATGATAGATAAAGTTGCTCTGTATAGCAGTGAAAATGTATACCATGCCTTCTGATAATACTGCCTAGGGGAAGCATGTATAATGTGAACAGAATTGGTCCTAGCACTGAACCCTGCGGAACTCCATAATAACTTGCTGTAGGTATTACAGGTACTGCACTGCAGTACCTGTAATACTGCAGGGTATTACAGGCTCTAATCATTCTAATTGATAGTATTCTAATTGAATACTATCATCAGCAATATCGAATGCTGCACTGAGGTCTAGCAGGAAGAGAACAGAGATGAGTCCACTGTCAGAGGCCATAAGAAGATCATTTGTAACCTTCACTAAATCTGTTTCTGTGCTGTGATGAGCTCTGAAACCTGACTGTAGGAGCCATAATTGAATGTTTTGAATTTTGATGATCACTGGGTTTTTATTTGTTTGGTTGTTATGGGAGTCACGTGGGTGCTAGCGGTGACATAAATGGGCGTTGTCAGTCTGTCATTCACTGGTTTTGATTTTGACAGAGAGGAGGGCTGGGTAGCCGTAGTTTTTGCTGACCGCTGCACAACATGTTTCGCCTTGTTACATTAGAGCCTGTGACGTTGTAAGAGTCCAAATCGCGAGATGATGACATTACTCTGTAAACTCTCAAAGCACTTTAATAAACAAGCAAACAATTCCACCTCTTGCATTATTGCGTAAAGTTGACAGCGCGTCAGGCAAATAGGCAGGCTCCATCCCCGGCCTCTAGCGACTGTGGAAGTCGCTATAATACTACTAGTACTACTACTAATAATAGTACGATAGTATAGTATGATAATAGGATAATAGGCCAGGAGTTTGAAAACAGTGTGAATAAAATAATAATAATACAAATACTAAAGCATAGGGCTAGGTTACATCTAATCACAGTTTGGAGTGTCACAGCAATAGCTGAGAGACATCTTTTGACTTTGTGTTGATCAAATAGATCTACCACACCTTTCTTTAACAGGTGAAATGGTCTAAGCACTTTCTGTGGCTCCTTTACCCTTTACCCATCTGTAAAAATTTACTCAACAAATTGAGATGAAGAAATGTGAAGAGGAAGGATTTTTATAACAACTAACTGAAACCTGAATGAAAATCACTTAGTGTTATTCATAAAGCTTTTGCAGAAAGTTGCTGTAATTTGATCTTCAACCAAAAAATGCACTAAAATTAAGAATGTAATATGATAAAATAATGAAGTAAGGATGAAGACAAAAACAAATAAGTGTTTTTTGTAATCTTATGAAACTTATGGCAAAAAAAAAAGAAAAATAGAAAGAAAACCAAAACTAAAAAATAACCAACACCCCCCCACACACAAAAACTTTACTTGTTCTTGTCACTGGTTACTTGTTTCTTTATGTCTTGTTGAACTGGTTTAAAAGTAATTTGACGGTCTTAATGGTATTATTACCATTTTTAAAAACACATACATTTAAGTATAAATACAGAATAATGAAATCACACAAGTAAGGTCCATCACTCCACAAACAAAGCATTAATTCATAGTTGTGATCTAGAGTCTTTCAGTAGGTGGTGGTGTAGTCATGGTAAAAAGAAAGTCCACCGTCTGTCACTTATAAAGTTTCATGCATCAGGATGCATACATTTGGATTGGTCAGATAAACAACAAAACATGACATATGACAGCATGCCATTATTTATTCATCAAAAAATTGCCACAATGCAGAAGTAATGTGTACTGCTTAGGTACTAGGTACACCTTTACTTACTATCGGAATTAAGACAATGAACAGCAGCCAGGTGCTTTAATCAAATACACTTGATTAACTGTTTATCAGCATTTGTTTATCACAAATTCTAATCTGGGGCATTCAGGTGTGTGTTAACACAATGCCAAGTAAAAAGATATCAGCAGCGATCTCAAAAAACTTAAAAAGGAGTGGTGCTACCAGTCTTGGAAGAGTTATAAGGGCATTTCCAAAAAATGTGAAGTCCTTCAAGAAAGTTGCCAAGAATGAGTGTGCCAGGAAATTCAATCAAAGTCAGACTGCAACGTGCTCAGAGAAACTGCAAAAAAAAACCCCAGACCTACATTTTAGACTCTTAAGGCTTCGTTTAGCAAGTTAAATGCTAATTTTATGACAGTAAACTTAGAAAAAGAATGAACAAGTTTGGCTTGTTTCAAAGGGTTAGCAGGAGAAAGCCTTTTCCCTCTAAGAAGAACATGGAGACTAGCTTAGGTTTGTCTCAAAAGAAACCACAAGACTTCTGTAACAATATCCTTTGAACAGGTGACACCAAAGTCACCTGTAACGCACAGTGTCACTATCGAGATAGTGAAAGAGCATATCAGCACAAACACCTCATACTAACTGTCAGCACGGTGGTGGAAGGGTGATGATTTGGGCTTGTTTCACAGCCACAGGACCTGGGCACCTTGCAGTCACTATCATTCTAAAGTCAAATATCAGGCCATCTGTCCAACAGTTAAAGCTTGGCTGAAAATTGTGTCATGTAATAAGACAATGATCCTAAGCAGTTGCACAGCAGCAGAACTACTGAATGAATGACTGAAACAGAAAAGAATCAAATCCCGACTGAAATGCTATAGCAGGACCCGAAAAGAACTCTGCATAAATAATTGAATCAAAACTCACTGAACTGACTACACAGTGTAAAGAAGAGTGGGCCAAAATTCCTCCACAGTGAAGTGAGAGACTGATAAAGTAATATAACAAATTATTACTTCAAGTTATTGTGGGTAAAGGTGGTTCTAGAAGCTTCAGAATAATGGGGTGCCCTTAGTTTTTGCACACACATTTTAATTTTTGTCAAATAAATAATGACACTGCACAACATGTCATGTGCTATTCTTTTATCTCGAGCTGTATTTGTCTTATTTTAGGACCTAGTAAGGACTAGATTTAAAAAAAAATTATGCTCTTTTTTTTTAAATCTTGAACTTCACGAGAAGTACCTTGACTGTACTTTTCACCATCCCTCTACAAAGGGCAAAATTTTACAAAGCTGTGTTTAAAAAAATTCCAAAGGTGGTACAATAAAAAAATTAAAAGTAAAATAAAGCAATAAATCTGTGAGAAACACTGACAGCCTAAATAAAAGAATTAAGCCTATCATTCTTGTAACTGCTGGGAAGCAACAGAAAGTAAATAAAAGATGAATCATAGTACTTTCCCTGAAAGTTAATGTTTACGGATAACTCCCGTAACTTATCTCAACCAAAAACTGGCACTTGACCAGATCCAAAACAAACATGATGCCAGAGATATGACTCTGACATTTGCTGATGACTTAGCTTCATTATTAAACAAATAAATCTTTGAAGTATCTGCTGTATATACCAATTACATGTTAGAAACTGTATTCTTGTTACTTTTTCCTAGAACATAAAATATTTTTCTTCACATTTATTTAGGATTTAGGGGACACCTTGCTTACTGAGCCCATAATTTTGCCCCTCACAGTGTGCTGAAGTATTCCACAGGAGGAAGTTGTTTACCTGAATTCCTAAATGGGCGGCGACTGCTGGGGTTTTGTCTCGTGGCCAAGATAGTTGAAGTTAAAAGCCTCAATAAAGGTCTGATTGAAGTAGAAACAGATCCAGCTCTTAGTGCTAAAATGTCCATCCAGCTGAAAGTAAACGGACCGAGAGGAGAGGAGAAGATAGTCGATATTTGTGACAATATGGACCAGATGAAGATCCTCAAAGTGATGGAGCTAAAAAGCAAAATCTCTGACGCACTAGTGATAAGTAAGTATGACTCTTCTTATCGTCTGTTATTAATTATTTGTAGAAATGCAAATGTTATTGTGCAGCAGATTCTATTTACAAAAAAATTCTATTTAATTTCCAAAATGAAACAAAATGCAGTGTGGCCTCCCATTTATGTAGTCTGCAGTCACTCAGATAACACATACAAACACCATAAACATGACTTAAATTAGCAGATAAAAAGGGGCTTAGAATAACAGTATAGTTAAATTGATTGACAGTGGGACTCCACAAACACAATAAAAACAAATATTCGACTTTTGCTAGTATGATTAAATAATTACATCACATATATTAAATGATCCAAATATTAGCTTTGCTGATCTGCTCTTAGAGGCGTGAAGCAAGCCCAGCTCTTTAAAGCTCTTCTCTCTGCTTCTGCTCAGTTGGTGAAATGCGGCTGGTGTTTAGAACGAAGCCACTGGAGGACAAAGCCCTGCTGGTGTCTTATGGGATTAAGCACATGTCCGTCATCCATGCACTGCTGATCCTGCCAGGCGGAGGAAATCGATGAGGACAAGACCCAAAAGAAGAAACCTGAATGCACAGACAAAACAATTTATTGTGAAGTCTTTATTATTTTATATGCTCCAACAATATCACGTTATTGTTATGTAATTATTGTTGTCACTTTTGATCTTTATTTTTCTTATATCAATAAAATAAATCGTGTTTTTGCCACACTGGATAATACATTTCATATTTTATTTTCTGAGGGATTACATCTAAAGCCATCACATTTAGCAGTTTAAGGCAACAAATGGGCTAGTGAATATCAATTATTAATTTTAACAATAAACTGATGAAACACAATAAGAACAATATGATCTGCAGATCACAACAGAGGAATCTGGCTGGCACAATATTTATAGAAACACATCACTGCTAAATATAGACAGGAGCTGGGTCACTCTAACACATATAAAGGCAAAAACAACTAAAGCCTGAGCCAACAGCAGCACACAAGAGAAAGAGTTCAATTTCTATAGATGCAATGCTTATGATATTGACAGGATATTGTGTTCACCTCCACAGTGGATTTTAAATTAAAAAAAAATCTAGATGTGACTGAAGTGCAGACTTTTAGCTTTACTTCAAAGGATTTAACAAAAATGTTTCATTAACTGTTTAGGAGTTACAGAAAGTTTTTTAAATAGTTCCCCAATTTCAGAGGCTCAAAAGCAGTTGGGCTTAAATAATTTTAAATATGAGGATTTTTTTAAATACTTGGATGAAAATCCTTTGAGCTCAGTGATTTCCTGAAGCCAAACCCACAGACCTCACTAATGCTGCGTTTCCGCCCTTTAGATAACCTGCCAGGCCTTATGCAGTTCCACTAGCAGACATATTTATCCATGCGTCATCATTACGTCGACAGTGTTTGACAGATGATGTGGTTCTGGAGCCTACTCCGGCTGTCCTTACCAATATTTCTCATTCTGGCTATTTGTAGTAGACTGCGTGCCACAAACCTCTGAAAACTCACGTATGTATAGTTCATTTAAAGGCTCTGCTCTTAGAATTTTGCACCCTGATATGGTATATAATTTGAAACGAGAGTAGTGTTGTAATTGCAAAATGTTGTGTTGTAAAAAGTATACTCCAAATACAAATACTTATGCGAGAAGGCCAGCAAAAATACTACAGGTATCTACCTTTCAGTGCCAAAAGAGGATTCTGCTCTGATGCAGACTGGTAGTAAATCTGTTGTCAAAATATGCAAAAAATGAATTCTCATCCACATGTTTTAGGGCAAAAACTGTCATTTTACCAAGGCGCATGATTTATTTATAATCATTACAGTTGGAATTGGTTAACAAAGTCTTGTTCCACGCAGTGACAGTGAGCATGAAAGTTGACTATAATGATAAAGCATATGTTAGTGTGTGTGTGTGTGTGTGTGTTGAGGGCGGGTTAAAGAAATGAAAGTGAAAGTTGACTATAACGATAAAGGAATGTTAGTGTGTGTG